GCGGCATCGCCCTCGCCCTAGGCGGCGTGCTGCTGCCGTGGCTCGAGGCGCTCGTCGGTGCCGCCCCGCTCCGGTGGCTCCTCTCGTCCCTCACCGGGCCTGGCCGGCCGGCCCTCGTCGCCTACTGGGCCGCCGCCACGCCGATCGGCTGCGTCGCCGCCGCGTGCGTCGCGCCACCGCCGCTCTCGCCGGAGGATGCCAGGCGGGACGCCGAGGCAGAGGCCGAGGCGGAGGCGTTCGCAGAGGCGGAGAGCACGCTCGCGGCGGCGTCTGCGTCTGCGTCGGCGGCGTCGTCTGCGTCGGCGGCGTCGTCTGCATCGGCGGCGTCGGCGGCGTCGGCGGCGGCGTCGCCGCCGCCGCAGCCGCTCGAGCCCGAGCCGTCGCCTGGGCCCGAGGCGAGCCGCCGCCGGGCGCGGCGCGCGCGGCTGCTGCTGGCGCGCAAGATCTTCCACCTGCTCGCGGTGGCTCTGTTTTGCCCCGCCATAGTGCTCGCGCCGAGCCTCCTCGCGCTCGCTCTCGCCGCGGTGGTGCCCGCCTTTGCCCTCCTCGAGCTCGTGCGCGTCGGCGCGCTGCCGCCGCTCGCGCGCCCGCTCGCCGCCTTCCTCGCCGCCTTCATCGACAGCCGCGACGCGGGCACCCTCGTACTCACCCACATCTACCTCCTCGCGGGCTGCGCCCTCCCGGTCTGGCTGCAGAGCGCGCTGCCCCCCCCGCCGCCGGCCTCTCGCGCGCCCCTCGCCGCCGCCGCCGTCCGCGGCGCGCCGCTCGCCGGCGTGCTCGTCCTCGGGGTCGGCGACGCGATGGCCTCCCTCGTCGGCGTGCGCTTCGGGCGCACGCGCTGGCCGCGCAGCCGCAAGACGCTCGAGGGCTCCGCGGCCGCGGCCGGCTCGACCCTGCTGGCGCTGCTGCTGCTGCTGCACGTGAGCAGCCCGGACGGCGCGCCGGCCGATGCACGCACGTGGGCCGCCCTTGCCGGCGGCACTGCGGTCGCCTGTCTGCTCGAGGCGGCCACCGACCAGATCGACAACCTCTTCCTTCCCGTCGCCTATCAGACGTGGCTGCTCATCGCCGCCGTGCTCGAGCCGTGGTGCCGTGATTCGTCGTGCGGCGAGGGGTGACGCCCCCCCCGTCTCGCGGTTCGAGCTCGTATTTTAACTGAGAAATTTATGTCCTTCGTTAAAGAGAGAAAACTTTTGAGTTGGGCAGGTTCCAGCATCCACGATCCAAGGACCAGGTTACCTGTGTCGACTAGCTGGCCTCACCCCGCATACGATAGAGTCGCGCTCCCAATATTCGTGTCTCGTGTGCTGTGTGCATATCACTTTTGTGACGGTGTTACAACTTTTTTGATCAACCATATCTCGATAACTACCATGTCGACGCTCATGAAAGTAGGCGCAATCAACTGGGCGCCCTCAAAGTTGTAACACCGTCACAAAGTGATGCACGTATTTGGGAGCGCGACTGCACATCTTACCCCTTCTGCCCCTCCTGAGCCCTCCTGCGCCCCCCCAGGCTAGATGGAGTAGTCACAGATAAGCGTGCGTGCGTGCGTCCCGTGCCCAGTCCTCGAGGCCAGCGTAAAATTCTTTTCTTCGCGATGTCCACCCCGCCGCGCCTGGCGAGTAGAGGCACACGCACGCTCTCTCGAGGTCTCTTGGAGCAGAGCCCCGGCGAGCCCTCGAAAGAACCCAATGGGTCCCTCGAGAGGGGTACCCTGGGTGGGCGGGGCCTCTACTCGCCAGCCGCCGCGCCGCCGCTCGCGCCGCCTCGCCTCCGCCCCCACCGCCGCTCCCTCGCCAGACACGCCGCCGCCCGCCCGCCTGCTCGACCTTCCCAGGGAGCTCCTCGAGCGCGCCCTCTCCCGCTGCGACCCCGCCGACATCGCTCGCGTCGCGGCCGTCTCGCTACTCTTCCACGCCTCGCTTGCGGAGGAGGGCATCCGCTTGTGGGCGCAAGAGCGCGGCTTCGAGCTGCCGGCGCAGCCAGAGGGCGAGGGCTGCGCCGTGCGGTGGCTGTGCTGTTCGGCGCTGCTGCGCGAGTCCAACGCGCCGGCGAGGGTGTCAGCAGGCGAACGGCACAGCGTCTTCATCGACGGCGAGGGGCGGCTCTCGTCGTGCGGGTCAGCGGCAAGGGAGGGCGAGGAGGAGGAGGATGACGACGACGAGGAATTTCCAGGCCTTCTCGGCCACGGCGAGGGCGTGACGCAGCTCAACACGCCGACCCGCCTCCCGTCAATGCTGGGTGACGAGCGCGCCGTGAGCGTGGCGGCTGGAGCATACCACAGCCTCGCCCTCACCGCCGACGGATCTGTGTGGAGCTGGGGCGGTGGATTCTCTGGCCAGTTGGGCCACGGCGACGAGCAGGACCAGCTGCTGCCCAAGAAGATCGAGACCTTTGCTGGCCGGCGCGTCGTCGCTGTGTCGGTTGGGCTGTACCACAGCATCGCCATCACTGCTGACGGCAGCGCCTGGAGCTGGGGCGATGGAGACTACGGCCGGCTGGGCCACGGCGACCAGCAGGACCAGCTGCTGCCCAAGCAGGTCGAGGCCTTCGCTGGGCAGCGCGTCGTCGCTGTGTCGGCTGGAGCCCGCCATAGCCTCGCCACCACGGCCGATGGCGCCGCTTGGAGCTGGGGCCTTGGAGGCGCTGGCCGGCTGGGCCACGGCGACCAGCAGCGCCAGCTGCTGCCCAAAAGGGTCGAGGCCTTTGCTGGGCGGCGCGTCGTCGCTGTTGCGGCTGGAGGCATCCACAGCCTCGCCATCACCGCCGATGGCGCTGTCTTGAGCTGGGGCGATGGAGTCTCTGGCAGGTTGGGCCACGGCGACACGCAGAACCAGCTGCTGCCCAAGAAGGTCGAGACCTTTGCTGGCCGGCGCGTCGTCGCTGTGTCGGCGGGAGATCGCCACAGCATCGCCATCACCGCCGACGGCGCCGTCTGGAGCTGGGCTATGGAGCCTCTGGCCAGCTGGGCCACGGCGACCAGCAGAACCAGCTGCTGCCCAAGCAGGTCGAAGCCTTCGCTGGGCAGCGCGTCGTCGCTGTGTCGGCTGCGGAATACAATAGCTTCGCCATCGCCGCCGACGGCGGTGTTTATGCTTGGGGTCTGGGCGAACGCGGCTGCCTTGGGGCCACGGAGAGGACCTGTCGCACCAGCTGCTGCCCAAGAAGATCGAGCGATTCGGGGAGAGGGGGCTGGGGCAGTGAGAGGGTTTGCTCGCGATATTCTTATAGTGTGTTGAGCACGGGAAAAAGGCCATTTCTGATGCGCGCACCGCGGGCCGCACACATAGAGTCCCGCGCCTCGCCACTATGACGGCCACACGGCCGCAGCTCGTGTGCGTGTGGCCGGCTTTGTCCGGAGTGAATACTCCAACGCGCTCGTCGGTGACGGTGTCCTCCAACCTGCGCCGCGCTCGGCGAACCTCGACAGCGCTTTCGGTGGCATGCAGCTCTTTGCGCCTGAAGCCTGGAGAGCAGCTCCTCGGCTGCTCACACGCTCTGCACAGTTGACACAGCCTACTGTGCGGCTACCACAGCTGTGACAGCGATGGGCTCGCCCTCACTGGCCCTCAGTCACTTGTGCTGTGGCTTGTGTGAGCGACACTGCTCGGCGACTGCCGGCACACTGTGAGACCATGGGTGTGAGGTAAAACCACGCTACCAATTCTTGGTCACATCGGCCCCGAGGTCAGATCCTTCTACTCTGTTAGTGATCTGTGATCTGTGAGGGTCCGCCCGCAGGCGCATTTTGTATACCGAGGCGGTGCCCGGTGCCGAACCTGTCGGACCTTAAGACAGCGTTGTAGATCCCTGGGCGAGGGTGGTGGAGAGGGCGGTCCGTCGGCGCCAAACCACCTCCCACCGAGGTGGGCAGGTTCCACGCGTTCCCGGACCGCCCCGTTGGAGGTAGGCCGCTCGTCTAGCCAATCAGCCTTAAGCGAGCGGCCTGGCCGTTGGAATGGCCCAAGACCGGTCCCCGTCGGGAGGGATCGTCTGGCGGAGGTGATCCTCAAGAGGTGATCTACCGTCACCTCGCCGGCGTGCCCGGCGAGTTCGGCTTAGATCTCCCCTCCCGCGCCAGACAGTCCCTGTGGTGGTCACGCGGCCTCTGGCTGGAACGGGATCTACCTCGCAAGCGAGTCACCCGGGCCGGCGCGCGTCTTCCGGGAGAGGGGCGGGAGCGAGGGACCTCCTTAGTAAGCCGGCATGCAGGCGCATGCGCGGCCGTTCAGAAACTTTCCCGGCCGCTGGAATGGCTGCGCTCCCGCCCCTCACGCCGGGTTGAGGGGAGGACGACTGTCTCCGCAGGCGGACCTCAGTTACGAGCCGCCCTCCCCTCGAGACGCGAGGCCAGCGCACTCGGGGCCGAGCCCCAGCGTGCACCGTCCCACACGCCTCACGCGGCCTCTGGCTGGAACGGGATCGCAAGCGAGTCCCCCAGGCCGGCGCGCGTCTTCCGAGAGAGGAGCGGGAGCGAGGGACCTTCTTAGTTGTCCGGCATGCAGACGCATGCACGGCCGTTCAGAAATTTTCCCAGCCGTTGGAATGGCTGCGCTCCCGCCCCTCAC